TACCGGCTAGACGGATCTGCATTCGTATGGTTAATGTACCCTCAAGGAAGAACCTCGTCCTTTTAACTCGTTGCACCGGTAAGGCCAGTTCGCGATTCAATCGTTCTGCGTACGTCTTCGTGGACTCTCGGACTGTTCGCGTTCCTCTTCGTGTTCTTTGTCTGGTCAGGCGTCATCGATGCGGATAAGAGGATTTACTTGGCCAAACGCTTCGCCATGAGATTTCCAGGTAACGCGTGCTTGCACTGTGTCCCAACCACGGTAACGCGATAACGCGATAGTGATAATCGTCAACCTGATACATTCTGTCATCTCGTGTCAGATGGAGCAGCCAATTCTCAACTTTCTCTCTCTCTCTCTTTCTCGAGTAATAATAATAACGTAGCATCCTTTAATAGGATAATCGTTAAGCTGACACATTTTGTCGCCTCTTGTGAGATGGAGCAGCCAATTCTCAACTTTCTCTCTCTCTCTCTTTGTCGAGTAATAATAATAACGTAGCATCCTTTAAGGGGGTATTCTAGTCTAGAGTGTAATCTTTTAGTCCTTCTTAGGGATTTTGTTTGCAAGGAAAGTATAAGTTTCTCAGTATCGGCATTTTGCATACACATTTATTCGTGTCTCAAGAAAGTTGACAATTTTTTTCAAGCGAAAATAATCAAAACTGTCTGAATTATATATCATTCAGTGCGGTCCCTTTAAAAAAATGTGTCCTACTGGCTGACACGGTTCCGCCCATTCTGTTTATCCGAAATGAAAAAACCAAAAGGATTCTTGATTAGCACGAATGTGATTATGGTGTGAACCAGAATGAAAACGAAATAGTGAAAATTTACAAAATGGCGGCGCTTTGAATTTTGTCGCTTTTCTTCCGTCTTTCAGAGGCTCTAAAAATCAGAAAAATACATATTTTGGCATGATTCTGGTTCAGACGATAACGGCACATCCGCCGAAGGTGCAGGTAAAATTTCGAGTCAATCGGACAACTAGAACTTGAAAACACGGCTTCGAGAAAAACGCGTTTAAAGTTTCTCATACCAATTACACGAGAATTCTTTAACCATCAATAACTTCGTCAATTTTACGAATTCGGAAAAGTCCTTCGACAGTTACACTTCTGCAAATGTCTGCTTTCAGAAAATGTAAAAAAATAAAATCGAGTTTTTTGAAAAGTCTAGACTAGAATACCCCCTTAATAGGAGAATCGTTGAGTTGATACATTTTGTCGTCTCTTGTGAGACGAAACAGCCAATTCTCAACTCTTTCTCTAATAAGAATAATACAGTATCTTTTAATACGATAATCGTTAAGTTGAAAATTCTGTCGTCTTGTACGAGATGAGGCAGCCAATTCTGAACTCTCTCTCCCTCTCTAATAACAACAATAATAATAGAGTATCCTTTAATATGTGATATAAGAAATATAGTTGACAATCGTCAACTTGATGCATTCTGTCATCTTACATGAGATGAAGCAGCCATTTCTGAATTCTGTCTCTCTAATAATACAGCATCGCTTAATACGTGATGTACGAAATGAAACCTCGAAATTTTATGCCGATAATCATCAATTTCGTGCATTGTGTCATCTCATATGAGATGAAGCAGCCAATTTTGAATTTTCTCTCTAATAATGATACACCATTTTTTAATATACAATTAATATACAATCTACCCAAAATTTGAATAATACCGGAATTAATTCGTGCGAAACAGAGCTAATTTTTCCACCGAATATTGAACTTCCATTGTTGCTCGATCATTTATTTATAATTTAACGAACGAATAAACTTCGTTCTTTCTCGTAACAATAATTAACGTATTCTCCAACGATTTCCCAAAACTACCAGTCGCAAAACGTACACTCACGAGACGTTTCCTTCCCCAACGAAATGCCTGAAAAGTGTGGCGCAGAGGGGCGGAATTCTGTCAGTGTCCTTGCGGTTTTTGAGTAAATAACTCGTCGGAATCACAGTAATTTCTCTGTCAAAACTCTGCCTTCGTTACTCCTCTCTTTTTCGAACCGCAAAACACGTAAATGTCCCGAAATCGCTGAATACCTGTTGTTAAACGTAACATATGTATCAGGATAACTTTCGTCGAGATTTCCCTTGAAAAATCACCAAGAAACATTTCCGATCCCCAAAATCCTTCGCTCGATCTCACCAAACATTTGGACGATTAAACAAACTACAAAGGTGGCATATTCTCTTATTAAATCTATTTGCTGTTGACGTTTAATCCCTCCAGTTAAAACACTGGAGGAATGGTAAATTAGAAAATTGTCGACGGTCTCTGTGTAAATTCCCTGTATCTTCTTTGCGTTCAATAAAACTTTACGATCAAAGCGATCGATCGATACCTGCTCGAGGGATTTGTACCTAAGACAAGGGACACCGTTAGGATAAGTTAGTAACCCGAATCTACCTGAGCGACGTTGCAATTCGTTTATTGAATACGAGGAGGATCGATTCCACCGATCGAAGACTCTTGTTGCCGATGGATGGGTACCGTTACCGTGCAACAATGAACATTCCTCGAGAATTCTGGCTTGGTCCGTCGAGAGTAATCACGGCTGTACCTGACTGCACCAAGTCAGGTGTAACCAAAAGCTCGGAGTGAAATACTCGAAAAGTATTTCTCTCTATTTTACTCGAGTGAAATAAATCACCGGACAGTTTCACACCTTTCTACCGGAAAGTCACCTTTCATTTCATCCCTATTTCTGTACACTTACTTGGAGTAAGTTTCCTTTATTTAATTTCCTTACGTTGCTTGGGAATTGCTGGCACAAACGAGAGGAAGGTAGAAGGAATTGAATGAATCTCGTCAGGGATATTATTCATAACGTTGTTTAATATATTTAACGAATTACTTTATAGTAACTATTTACAAGAAGGCACCGGCAAGATAAAATTCTGTTCATTTTTCTCTCTTTCCTTTTCTTTTCTCCTCTTTCTCTCAATGTGAACATAAACGAGTGTCATTTATCTGCTCTGATTTTGTTTCAATATACATATGATTTACAATAATATTACAAAGTCGTTTATAATACAGTCAGACCCAGAGGGACGTTTATATAGAATTGCGTGAATTAACATAAATATGATAACATTCGTAAAAAATTTACAACAAATCAGTTCTTTCGGTACAAACGCCTCTCACCTAAAATCTTGGTCGACGGTCGAGTATAATTGTTCTCTTAAGAATACAAAAAATGAAGAAAACTGTACATCTGCAAAGTGGGGCGGCGTTTCGTTCGAAGATTGAACAATTTTTCACCAAATTTTCCAACTCCAGAGGATGCTTGTTTTTCTCTCTCTCTCTCTTTCTTTCGTCACGTCGACTTATAGCTTTGTATGTACAGGTCGTTGAGAAACTGTTTCAAGTATGATTGTAACTACGGTTAATCTTACGACGAGAAGGATGCAATCTTTTGGATTCGTGAAGTTACATCTGTACAGTATCGGTATGACTAGATCACAGTTAGTGGAACAGCCACTGTTTGTCGCCTCGTTCCGGGCCTTTCCCCTCTCACGTTTTTCCACCACGAAAAGCCACTTCTGTAAAAAGAAAGAGGGAAAGGAATTTCCACGTTAGAACACATCGTTTTTCATCATTTTTTTTTTTGCGAACGAACAGATTTGGAGGATAGATTACGTTCGTTTGTGTCCAAGTTTTTGGCGGTTCTTCTCTCTCTCTGGTTGGATATTGAAATTTTTATAAATTTATTCCCCGAGTAATTGGGACTGACGAAGGTTACCGAGTAGACGCTACAGGTATAGAAGCAGGGGATGATTTCAGGTAAGGGCAGTTTTACTGGAAGGGACCAGCTCTCCACGGGTAGAACGAAAAAGAAGGAATCGAAGGAGACGATCGGACGGCGAGGGGACGAGAGAGACGGAAGAATAGCGTACCGGTTCAAAAACTCACAAAGCGGGCACTGAAGTATCCTGACAGATGCATTCAAGTTAAACGCACCAGACGAAATCGTCTCTTGTGGAAAAGAGAGAGAGAGGAGAGCGCAACGGAGAGAGAAGAAATCCGCGGGAAGGAACGTTTCGAAGGATCAAGATTAGAGTCGAATGTGAACCTTCGATCGCGACGCATTTTTCGTCGCACTTTAAACGAGGAGAAAATTGTCGAATTTCGAAAGTTCCATCATTTTCTTGGCAAATTCGTCGAAATTGTCTTTCGCGTATATTTTCGAAGATCGTGAAACGATTTCGACGGCGAGTAATCCTCGACGAAACACGCATAATACGTTAGGAGGGAAAAGTTGTCAGATCTGAATGGAAGGTTCGGAAGGTTTCACGGAGGGTGACAAGATTTTTCAGAGAGAGGAGACGAATTGGACGACTCGAAAAGTTGAAGGCTGCGAAGGGATGAAAAAACGGTAGAAGGGCCCCGGGTATACGTATACGCAGGCTATAGGCATGCGTGTGTTGGTAGAGGAGTAAAAGAAATCGGGCACAAAAGCGTCGCTTCTCGAATGTATACTCGGTGCCCCCCTTGAATGGAGTCTGCGATTTGAATGACTGGAGTTTCAGCGAGGGGTCGCGCGCGCCATTGTCACGGAGCAAGGTCACAAATCTGGTCGGAAATTTCTTTGAACTTCCTCCTAAGGTAACGCGGATGTTACCTCACGGGTAAATTTACGGTCGTTGAGAAGCGAGGGAGGTGAGAAACTTTCGAGAGAGAGAGAGAGAGGAAAAAAAGGATCCTGAATGTGATGCAACGCGTTTCTTTGTTGTCCTGCTCGCGGAGAATCTGTCCACCGTTAAACATCGTTAACAACTCTGACTTGCAAAGCGTTTCATTTTTTCTTTCTTTCTTTCGGTCGAATGAAATAGCGAATGGAAAGTATCACTAAGTAAACTGTGTGCCCGAGACTGACGTTAAATTTGATTCCACTCGTGCGAATGTAAACGTGTGCTAAACAAGAGTGACACCAACCTTGAGGAAAAGAAGGGACGAAATGGTAGTACGACACGGATACTCTCATTGACTCTGTTGCCACCAAGATATGACGTCCAATAGTTCCTCGTCCTCGGGGCTCATCGGTTCGTAATTGTCGTAATTATCGGAACGCGGGACGTAGAGTGTGCCCGATGTTCCGTACCCTTGGCTGCCAGCTGACGACGCCTCGGAGACGAAACTCGGCGTTGGCGAACTCGAGGCCTCGGAACATGGTGCTGGCACGAACGTCGGGCTAGGATTTTGTCTCAGATGTTGATGTCGGTGCATGTCGTTGTTGTTTACGTTCCCGCGAAGTCTCAACTCCGGAGAATTACCGACTCCGTTTGTAGAGCTACACGTAGACGATGCCGAAGAGGCGGAGGACGGTGGCGACGAAGTCGGTGACGATACACTTGTGACATCCGAACCACTGTCGTGCTCCTCCAGAAGACGTTGAAGACTCCTGATATACTCGACCGCCATCCTTAGCGTCTCGACCTTGGACAGCTTTTTGCTACCGGTTCTGGAACCACCGTGGGTACCGGTTGTATTTCCACCGAGTGCCTGTGCCACACTTTGGGGTATGTGCTGCCTCAACGTGGCGAATCCGTTGTTCACCTGTTTCACACGATTCCGTTCACGAGCGTTTCTTCTCGCGACCGAGGCCGGCTGATGAGGAACGGTACCGTAGGGTCCGGTAGCCTGGCCGTACAGCTTGGACCGCTTGCAACCGTGTTGCTGTATCTTGATGTCGTTCGCCGGCATGCTGCTGGTGGAAACGATCACATTGCCACGGTGTGTTTGTGCACTGGTCGCCGAAGAGCCGTGGAGATTGTGGTGATGATGCTGTTGCTGTACGCTCAACATGATGGGCAATATGTTCCCCTCCTTCAAGTCCACTAAGGTCATATCACAGATTCGATCCCCCTACTACGTGAGTAGGAGTGCGCGGCAGCGCGTGCCTGATGACCTTGAGAAATAGAATCCTCGATGGGCTGAAAGTATTAGGCCGTCGATCGATTATTAACCCTCTTCGACGGACCAGGGCTCCCCCTTTTTCTTTCTCTCTCTCTCTCTCTCTCTCTCGCGACACCTTGCTTGGAGGAATATTGCGCGGCGGCGGCGGCGTGTCCGGCGAAAACGAGAAGAAGAGAAAAACAAAAAAAAAAAAATGAACAACAAAAACGGTTACGTGAGTTTATAAAAGTTGCCGTGCAAAAACTAAACCGCACCCTCGATGCTGACGGTACGGACCTGGCTCCCGAAATGCCTTGCCAAGAAGGGTTCGAGGCCTTATATAGCCAGGGCGGGCACGCGCCTATCCCCACCACCGGGCCCCATACTTGATCTTGGGCCCTAAACCCCCATCTTCTCCCTCTACCTACTCGCTTGCAGCACCTCATACCCCTGTGCATCCCCACCAAGCGCGATCCAAAGGCCCTACAACGCCCGAGATTCTCATCTTCGTGAATTGCTGCCCTCCCGTGCTCTTCTTGCCTGCCCCCACGAATACTATTTGCCGATTCAGATATTTAAAGACGATATTACCTACCGTCGTTATCGTCGCTAGATAACGCTATTCGTGGTCCTCGTTTCTTAGAAACTCTGCCCTGGCTAGTGCTCGAGATTGTAACGCTAGCCTCTACGCGCGACGACGCAACAGTAAACGTTACAATTTTCAATTACAACATTACTTACACCATGGTCTATCAGAGAAGGTATGTTTCACGACAGGTGTGAAATGTTCTAACTCGTCTCAACGATAACACGTATATACCATACTTGTTCTCGGTAATTGAATTTCGGCCAGGTCCTCAGGAATCGATTAGCATAACCTGCATCGAGCCAGGAGTTTCACTAATGCGAAAATTCGTGGTCGCGTGAGAAACACTGGCGCGCACGCAGGAAGGGTCCACATCCCCACCAGCCGGTCCAGTGTCTCAGGGATCGAAATTTGAACAGTTGCCGAGAGAAAGAAAAGCTGGTCCAGAGACCGAACGAGCCGAGCCGGTCAAGAGAGAGACGGTGAGGGAGACGGAGTGAGAGACACGCGCGCACGCATCACGAGCGTGCAGCAGAGAGAGCGAGAGAGAGAGAGAGAGGGAGGGAGAGACCTGCGGGAAAGAGGAGGAGGAGGGGGGGTGGGGGCTGAAGAAGAGAAGCTACGTCGGGAAGAAGGTAGAGGCCGCGCGAGTGGAGTAAGGAGGTTTCACGAAGGATATGTGGGCCCAAGTGGAGGAAGGGAAGTTGGGCACACCGGTACTGGCCGCAGGGGCAGAAGAGGGCAGGGGGTGGAAGAGACGTGAGCCGTTCTCCCCACCATCTATCCGTGGCGCACGCCGACCCCCATCCATCGGGCTCCATTCCCCCCACCACACGCCGGTCCGTACGAAGCGTGCGCGTGCGTGAGTGCGTGTACTAGGGCGCACGCGTGCTTGCTGGGCCTCGTGCTGAAGGGGAGCGTGTATGGGGAGGATGTGCGCGCGCACAGACGCGCGTGGACCCATATGTATGTATATACGCGGGCTGTATGCACGCTCACGCGTGGAACAGGTATATGCCCTGTTCCCTTCTTTTTTTTCCTTCTTTCACCGCCACTCTGTCTCCTCTCACTCACTCACTCACTCTCTCCCTCTCTCCTCTTCTCTCTTTCCATCTATGCCTGCCTATCTTTTTTTCTGTTGAAAAAGCGCCGCGTAAGGGCCACTCGACAGCCACTGGATGTTCGCCCCGCGATTGCGCGTGGAGCTGTGTGATAAATATCCGACGCCTGAATGTCGTCTGACGTTGGATTTCGACAGATAAAGAACGCTTTGACGCTTTAAACTAAGTTGTAGCCAGGTACGCGTTGTACGTCCGATAATACACGATAACACCCAAGTCCTATCACATGAATTTCATGCTTCGAACGTTTCACTATTTCACCGATTCCTCGTTTTCCTCTTCGAAAATCCTCCACGTGGTTTTCTTCCTTCGATAAATATAGCTGGAAGATTTTTATAGAAGCGCCACGGAAAGCAATTTTAGGGTGACACTGCGGTACACGAGAAGTGTGAAAAAGTAGAACACGTCGGGGTCAATTACCGAGCAGGTAGTTTACCCTGTACGCTTACGAGGAGGTCCTTCCACTTTCGGAGTTCGATTTCTTCGTCAAGGATCGTAACAACAAGGCGCAGGCGACCCAACGACAAAGATTTACGAGTCCGTCGAGCATTCTTCGTTGAAAATGTACGCTGCGCGACAAATTCTCGACCGCAATGTTGCAGGTACCGTCATTATTATCGTTCGTAGAGCTTCTCTCCTCGGTACGGCAACCTGTTTCAAAGAATATAACGCCCCTGCGAGCATGAACCATTCCGGTGATCCCGTTACACCAACTACTAATTTTCGCAGGCGACGCTATTAAGGCGTTAACGCGTTTTCGCAATTTTTGTCGGGATGAATTTTAACGAGCACTCGATCCTATATACCCGAGACGACTCTGTTTTTACGAGAAATGACGCTTCGACGTGGCGTTTCGTTGATAATGTTGCGTTTCACCGTTGCGGATATGTTATTTAAAAATATATCGATTTTATCGGAACATTTTTGTTTATTTTGTAAAAACCTTAATAGTATATACTTGAGCTTTGCCTTCGAGATAAGATAAAATTTTCACAGACAAAAGAGAAGTGTGAGAAGTGGCGCGAGAGAGAGAGAAAGGAGCAGGAGAGACGAGAGAAAAGGATATTTTCCAGAACGTTGGTAATGGCCTTATTACCTTGAACCTTTGACGGGAGAATTTATTCTATAATTATATTCTTGGACCGTGCCGGCCGGACTAGCTAGCTGTATCGCCGCTAATTATTGTGAAATTAATTACCACTCGGAGTGGCGGGATGAGCGATGCCACGGGCCGGACAACTTTGAATTTTCTACCTTTAAACTGCACGTTACATTTACTCCGCTGTCTTCGTGTTAAATATCATTTCGATTTTCGCCCCGAGCATTTATCCTGGATCGTAGGACCGTCGTTACCGCTATGATCATAGAGATTAGAGTGTCTTTCTAGTTCGTCAGATGAACTATGCCTCGGTTTCTTCCTCTTCACCGAACTAATCACCGAATTATCGCTAAAATTGTTAGTTTCGTTGGATTCAACCGTAGAAATTTATTCAACTCTCACGTGGTGGAAGATCGATGCTTATCGTTGCACCTATCAAAATGCGTTATTATGATTTAGCAATTTTTTTTTTTTCTGTTCCACGTCGAAACGAGACTTCTCGAGGACGATGGGAATCAGCGTTTCTCGAGTCTCCGTTAATGAGAACGTCGCCGACTAATTGACGGACCAAAAAAGCTTGTTCAACAGGATACTCGGGTACGAAATGATGAGTTTCACGAAAATGGAACGTCTTGATTTCAGCTCCTTGATACGGCCAGCAGCTATGTATTGTAATTAGTATTTTCCAATTTAGGGCAGGCGGATTGATAATAAGCATTTTGCAAAATTACGTTGTACTTCTTTTCGGTTTTCTTTTTTCCTTTTTACTCGGTCGGTAAGTTACCGAACGATCTAATATTTGCAATTCCGGGGGGGCTGGTGGAACGGCTTGTTACGTGAATGAATTTATCGTTTCACAGAATGTGTCGGGGGGACAAGTGACATGTATAGTACACGCGTACACACCCCAGCACGGATTTAACGTTGGTACACGCGCTCCGAGCATCGTTCCAGCAGGTTCACCTTCGAAAGCTATAAATCGCGAAGATAAATTCGCGATAATCGCGAGAGCGGGGATTGGGAGGATTTTTCTATCGGTTTTCCCGTGAAAAAGCGTACATTTCGCGTGGATAACGTTAACCATTAGCGTGTATCGAAAATTCAACCGAGGAGACTTTAATCAGTTTGTAAAGTAGGATATACGCGCGTGTCACACGGCTTAATAGATTCTAGAGATTTTTCAACGATGAATAATGGACAAGGTGTGAATCTGGTTTCCATTGCTGTATTCCATGGTTGCACGGTGTGTAATTTATCATTGCGCGTTTGTTGCGCTGGCGCTATTATGGCAAGTAGTTTGGTAATTTATCGATGTGTCAAGGGGAATTCGTTTATAATCGAGAAACGCTTTGGACGTTGGTAAAAATAGGGAATCTCGCCTCTCCTTTGGACGTTCGCGCCGCTTCGCGCGTGCAACTTTGCAATTACTCGGGTCTCGGTGAATAAATGCATCCGTGAGGATGAGCCACTGCCCCGTGCACCGGTACAATGTCTGTTTAAGTGCAAAACAAGCATGATTTTACGGCTCCATCGGGCCGCTAGCGGAGCGTTATGCTGATTAATGATCCTGAACACGTCGTTCCGTCCACGGGGATTGTCGCTTTCCATGCCTCATAGCGTGACCTTGCCGAGTTTATCACTGGAAGGAGCCGCGGCTATTTTCCAGGAGATACTCGAGAGACTAGAATTTTTCTTTTTTTTCGTCCGACACCGAAGTTAGAAAATTGTCGCGATATCGTGGGAGATTTGAGAAGGGACACGTGAACGTTGCGTGGGCAATATTTTGTTAGGACAGACGAAAGGAATACGCGCGGCGCTCTCGATGTAAAGGAAGAGTCGCTCCTTAGCATATTAACTGAGGCGGGAAATTTAAAAGTTCAACAGAAATTTGTTACATAGGTAATTCTCACTTTGAGAATTTGTATTTTAAGTTGCACGAAGAATCACGCAATGTGCAGTAATGAAACGATAAGTTAGAAAACGAAAGACATTCATCAGTCCACTAACTAAGGCGGGAAATTTAAAAACCCAATACAAATTTATTATTTTAAATTCTACGGAAAATCACGCAGTACGCAACGACACAACACTCGCTTAGAACGATCCTCCTTCACAAATTCCCAATTTACGAACGTTCGCGGGGAAC